AAACGTAATAATAGTAAAAAAGTTATATTTCAAAGATTACTATTCTTATAAAGAAAATAGAACAGGATAAAAAGAAAAAAAATACCTTTAAATAAGAGATAAACTCATGGGTAAACATATCTTTTATTATTTTTAAGCTATTACGAGTATTAGTATCCGTTTATTAGTTCGTCTATAAATGCCTATTAATGCTTAAATAAGATAGCGAACAAATTTTAATCCATAAGAAAACTGATCATTTCGGGACTATTAAATTTATTTTTTAATAATAAATAATGCGGAGTTTAAAATCAAAACACTCCTATTACAAAATTAAAAAAATAAAAACAGACATTTTTACGAAATCACAGCGCTTTATAGAACCAATAGCATTTTAATTTTCTATGTTCCCTAAAAATCACTCCCTTTAATGACCCCGGGTCGAGGCACACGTAGGCACAAGCCATTTTACATGCAGAAAGGTAGACCTCCTGGCCGTCTGTGGTCAATGGCACGTGGCATCTGGTTGATATCCATGTCTAATGACGGAGGGCTTTCCTTCAACTTTGCGAGGTAGTTCTCTCCGTAAAATGCAATTATTTTTGGTATAAGGCGACTAAAGCAACTTTTTTTGCCTGAAAAGGCTTTCTAAACTCCTAGCGATGTTTTTTTTTTTTTAATGAAGCATAAATTGAGTGGAAAACCTGCACCCCACAAGATAGTTTCTGAACACACTGAATTTTTTTTTTTTTCTTAAAGAAAAAACATTTGAGTCTTCACTTTTTAATTCGTTCAATCTGCACAGATTTCATTGTAAGTCTATTTCATTTCTCAATCGCCTTTTCAATGATTATTGCTACGAAATTCTGCATGATTTAAAGAAAAAAATTTTATATGATATTACGAACCGTGAATTTCGAATTTGAGTAATCACTTTTCATATATATAAACATTTACGTTTATATAAAAATTATCATATCTGCCACCAACTTGACTGAATGGATCATGGTATGGCAATTAAGTCATTAACAAAATTTTAGTCATATTTTTGATGCATTTTTGTTCTTACTTAGGCAACTATTTTCCTAGTTTTTGGCTACTAAAAGCAACTAATTTGTTCATTTTTTCTGCGGCAACCCTGACAAACTGATACTTGACTACTAGTGGAAAATTTTTGCAATCAGACCAGAAGAAAATTACCTCAAATTAGGAAAACAATGAACATATTGAAGTAATTTTCAAAAATGGATGTTAGTTACAAGCAAAATGCTTTATTTTTAAAGAGGGTTGATGCAGTGCTGCTGTAGCGTCGACTGAAATCGGAAGCTCGGAGCAGCAAAGGAGTGACCTAGCCCTAGCTTCTAAAAACACTTAGGGAGAGCACTAGATTATGCTACTGTTAAATGATTTTTATTTTATAAGAAAGAAAAGCATTTGTGTTTAACTGATAATTGGTTGTTTTAGTGTTTTTTGTATAAGAAATGAAAAATAATGAATTGTAAGGAAAGAATTGTTGCTAAACTGTAAGGGCTCTGCATATATAAATATTAATTTATTTAACTGCAGGGTATCAACGCACCTGGTCAGTTATAAATTTCAACCTTAATTAAAATTTGCTATGGAAAATCGCACTTCATTTTTGCTGTTAGAGCTCTTAATCCTGCTTTTGCTAGTTTCCTGGTTTCTTATGTTGAAAGAACATTCTATCCCCATTGCTTTTAGTCATTTAGGCTTCCCATCATGATAGCAAGATAGTGCAGGTTGTTATGTGCTGGGCGTATTGCTCAAAAAGTTCAAAAGCGTACTTTCTTTACCGAAAACTAAATATTTTTCAAATTTGCTTCAAATACAAAAAATAATCAAAATTGGCTATAATAATAATAAAACAGGTGACTCCTCACTTTCCTGGGTTCTCATCAAGAATAGAAGTACAATTCTATGCTGCAATGAGTCAGTAAATTGCCACATGCGAACTAAGAAATACAACAACGCCTACAAAAATAATGTTTGTTTTCCTTTTAAATTTAAATGAATTGCATGTGTGTTTCTTTTATACACTAATTTTCTTTTTCGCATGTTGTAAATAATCATCTCATTAGAAAAGCGTGAAATCCGTAGCAATAAAAATTTCACTACTCTTAAGTTTTTATTTATTAGAGAACTCAATTATATTTGGAGGCTAGATTTTTAAAAAAGTATTAAGTGAGGGGCATTAAATATTTTAAATGCAGTAAAATATCTTTTGTTTAGTTATGTACAAAAATTCAGATTTGTCATTCCAAAAAACATTAATTTATCTCTTAATGATTTTATTTACAAACAATTGAAATAAAAAATTCACTTATCTCAGAATTATTAAATTTTATGAAAGTTGAAACCATGTAATAATTTTGACAAAAATGTTTAGCTTCAGTACTCATTTTATTTACATTTTAAAATTATGGATAAAACATTTTTTAATCATTTCATTCAAGAAATACTAAACCAAGTAACAAATAATAAACATTTTAGGGGCCATTCACTAAATTACATTGTAATGTGAATTTATTAGTTTTCTAAGTTTACTTTATTCTTTACATATCGTCAATAAATTCGGTATGATCAATAATACAGTACAGAACCCGTTATCCGGAAATCGGAAAACCAAAAAACCGGAACAAAATTCGATAAATTTTCCTGCCATTTTTTTTAAAAAAAATGTTTTTTTCCTCATAAGATTTTAGCATTTTTCTTTCTATTTTGAAAGATATTTACCTTACCATCATTTTGGAAATAATCATTAGTGTATTACTTCGTTTTTTCTTTTTAAGATTATTTCTAAATATTTTTTTTTTTTCAGTTGGATTTAACAATAAAAAAAAAACTGCCTTTTGTAGCGATTCAGAAAACCGGAAAAATCAGTTATCCGGAATAGCAATGGTCCCGATCGTTCCGGATAATCGGTTCCTTACTGTATTAATCTTGTTAATGTTTTGCTGAATATGCTTTTATAAATAACTTAAATCTGAATCTAAAAAATACACTTTTTTAATAATAGTTAAATTTATAATTTTGAATTATTATAATAGTTAAATTTATAATTTTGAATATTGATTTAAAAATAGAATGAGCCACTTAATATTGAATATCTTTGCATGATTATGCATAAATTTTTTTTATCTTGGCTAATATAATCAAGAAAAGAGTTATTTTATCATGATCATGTAAAGTATTAGGAAATTATTTAGCATTTTAATGTATTTACGAAGAACTTTTACCAACAATTTAATTTTTTTATTATTGTACATATCCTAAGTACATGATTAAGATTTTGATGTTAAAAAGTGGTTGAGAATTGTTGAAAAACCTGAAACGAATTATATTTAATATTTCCTGCACTAATGAGAGTTTTTGACAGTAATTTTCAAAGCAAAAATAGTTTTATGTTAAAATAATTCAAGAATATAATTGTTGGAGCCTTTGGAATTTTACATGTGTGTTCATATTTATAATGGCTAATAATTATCTTTACACTAAAATTTTGTATTTTTGACAACTGTCAAAAAGTGCTTAAAAATATTTTTTGGGTGCTTGAAAAATGCTTATTTTTTTGTTTAAATTTTAGCTAAGTGAGATAGATGGCTGGTGGATTTTAGCATTATAAGTTACCGAGATTTAAGCTTTATAAATTTTCCTTAAAAGCATTAAAAATTTTAATTCATTTACTAATTTGTTTATTTGTTATCATAAATTGCTGGGTTATTTGTTTTTCAGTTTGCTTAGTAGCTCAGTTCTTTTTTGCTACTTTTGTTTAAATAGACTTATATAAATATATGTGCAAAGCATTGCTTAGGTAAATCAATATTATTTATAAGAAAGGTAGTTACTTATTTACTCCTGCATTTAATTATATTAAGAAATAATATATTAACCAGAGTAAGTCATGGAAAGTTATTGGTAGAAGTCATGCTTAAATTTGTTTAGATTCGATGGACATAATCAGCTGTTCTCATGGAAATTATGTGAACCAAGAACGTGGCTTACAAATTCAAAATTTAGGATATGCATTCAATGTCACTTTATTTTAATATTATGAAAATTCTTCATATTTTTTATTTGTGTATTACTATCCTAAAAATATTATGTTCTGTTAACAATCCTTTTATTTTTATATGCATTGAGAAAATTGTTTACGTCAGTCCACTTTCTAATGCTGTTACACATCACAATTTGTGTTTCAGTTTCGCTGGTGGACATAATAATCAGCTACTCCCATTGGTTATAGAATTCATTTATATGATCTAAGAATGTAGCTTACAAATTCAGAATTTAAGATACATAGTCAATATCCCTTAATTTTAGTATTATGGAAATTAGTGTTATATTTTTTTTTTTTTTTTCCAAGATTACTACCCTAAAAATATTGTGTTCTTTTAACAAACCTTTATTTTTTTTATGCTTTGAGGAAATTGCTTACAGCAGTCCACTTTCTAATACTGTCACACATCACAATTTGTGCTTCAGTTTCGCTGGTGGACATAGTAATCAGCTACTCCCATTGGCTATGAAATTCATTTTTATAATCCAAGAATGTAGCTCACAAATTTAGGACATGCATGAAGCATTAATTTGTTTAAATGAAAAATTTACTTTATTTATTTTTTAAATTAAAATTTACTTTGATTACAAAGTTTAGTTAATCGGTCAGTTTAGTTTAAAATTTAATTAACTTTTTAATACTGATGCACACCTCAATTTGTGTTTCAGTTTCGCTGGTGGACATAATAGTCAGCTGCTGCCAGTGATGATCACTTAATTCTTAGATCATTTATATCTAGAGATGTAAATTTACAAAAAATTAAAATAAAAATTAAGAATTTGTAAATTAAAAATTTACAAAATTAGACATTTATACACATACTACTTAATTTAAAAGCATTTCTTAAACTTATTTTATAATTTTGTTGCCCTTAAATGTTTATTATTCTCGAGACTGTTCTTAAAATTATTTTATTTAAAATAGTTTATTTATTTTTTTATAGATCAAGAAGTGCTGAAAAGTCTAAGAAGGAAGTGTCTCGCCGTAGCTCAAGCAAATCTACAAGCCGCAGTCCTCCCCGAAAGAAGCGTGCAACCAAATCTGGTACACGTAGTCCTGCTAGAAAGCACAAGGCTAGCAGGTCTACCAGTCGCAGCCCTTCACCTGGTGGTAGAGGTTCTCGGAGGGATAAAAGCAGGAGTGAAAGCCCACGTAAATCCCGTTCAAGGAGTAACAGAGATGTGAGTCCTAGAGAGAGTAAGAAGCGTAGCAGGAGTAACAGCAAGGATAACAGTCCTAAAGGTCGCCAATCTCATGGCAGAAGTCGCAGCAAGTTGAGTCGTTCCCGTAGTAGGAGTGTGGAAAGAAAGGCGCATCGTGGAGGATCCCCTGATGAGGTTAGTTTATTGGTCTAATGTTTTAAGATTTTGAAATTGTTTCCAAATTATTTTTTCTCTAGAAATTGTTTAGAGTTTTGGTCTCATACTATGTAGTTATTTATTCAATAGAAAATGTTATTTGATTTATTAGTCATTTTTAAGATTTAAATATTTACCATTTTTCATGTAATGTTAAATGCAAATATTTTTCAGATTTTCTACAAATCATAAATAAAGTAGTCCAGACCTTCTTTCAAAGTATGAATAAGTCCCAAAAATAAGTAAATGGCATAAAAAAAAAAAAATTTTATGGGCCCGGAAAATTATTCAAATGTAAGAAATAATCAAGTTATACTCTACTGGTTATACTATTAAGTTGTGAGAATTGTTAGCAGGAGAAATGAGAAGATAAGAATTTCTGTTTAGATACACATAATATATTTTAATCTTATTGGTAAATTTTGTTTCTTTAAATAGAAGGAAAGTGGCAGAGATTATGCAAATGGCCAGCGTAAAAATCAAAGTCGTAGTCCTGAAAGGAGCCCCGAATCCCAAGGAAGCCGTGGTCGTAGTCGCTCACGCAGTCCGAGTTACGATAAAGAAGAGGCCAATAAAGAGCGAGAACAATGGAGTAAATCCCCTTAGACAATCTGATGTATTACTCCAATTTATTTCTTTAATTTCTTATGTTAATGTAATATGTATTTCTCTTATTACTATACCATAATAAACCCAACTTTGTCCTCTATTTTGGTTTCCTTTTTTTTCTAATCTGTATTTCTGCTTTAAGATTTCTTGTTCGGTTTGTTTTAAATGTGTATTCTATAGAATACACATATTAGAGATAATAAGTATCTTCTACAGTGAAAAAAAGAAAAATAATTCCCTGTGGGTGAAATATGCATCTTCTAACCCAAGGAAGCTCTTTCAAAAAATATTTTACAATTGAAATTTAGTTTAAGAAACGAAAACTATTTTCTAAGCTAGGGGTGCACAACCTTTTTGATTAAAGGGCCACTTGCACAGCATTAACGAAAGGCCGCATATATATTTAGGCATGTTAACAGCAAATGTAGTAATATGTATTTAAACATCAGTGTTTGTTTTTTTTTTCTATTTTTAATCAATCAACTTAGTAATATATTTGTAGAAAATTAAAGTGTTCAATTATTAGATCTCTGTCAAAAATGAAAAAAACTAATACTTTTTTAAAAATAATTTCCATTTTTATTTCATCAAAAATAGATTTATTAAAATAGGTAAATAAACATTAAAACAAGAATTTTTTTTTTTAAAAATCATATCACGCAATGCAAAAATTATTCATTTAAAAATAAATTATTATAAAAAAAGACTGCAATGTTCACAGAAGGAAAGAAGAAAAAAAATTTTGTATATATTTAGTAGTATAAATTCAAAATGTACTTTGTTATTTCTTTTTAATGATTATTAGATTCTTTTTATATAGTAAAAGTTTTTTTTTTTGTTATGGATAAAAATCAAAGCAAGAAAAATTTTTAATAAAAATTGCAAATAGCGAGCAATTTAAAAATTCGCATTTTCCACCACTTTCTAAACTTCTCAACTTGCAATCGCATTGCATTTAAATTAGGGATGTAACGAGTATTAGGCCTTTTTGTCAAAAATTCAGTTGGTCAATTGGCCAAATATTCTTCAGCAGAGTAAAGTTTTTTTTTTTTTAAATTTGTGTAGATATGATAAAGAATAATATAAAATCGTAATTTTAACTATATTATATCATTGTTTATTATAAGAGGTAGTTTTTACACAAATTTGTTACATTTTAAAATCCATGTTTCTGCACATAGCTGACAAATTCATCTTCTAGAAGACAAATGGAAAAACGAAGTTTGAAGAATTGAAACCAGATTACTTTATACTGACTTCTTTGCATTTCTTTTTGCACTTCTGCTTTTTTAAAAAAATGAATTATATTCAAACAAGTCAATTTCTTAATTCTTTCGATACTTTTAGTTCTAAGATTTGAGAAGGATTTTTTGTTGTTGTTTTTATTACAACTCATCATTTTAACGGAACGTCCCATACTATTGATTGTCACTTTTTTCTCTGTCCCGTAATATAGATAACCGGGAAGGTAGAAAACTGAAATTTTCAGTGTTTAAGTTTAGTTTTAGGAGCTCAGAACATTTTTTTTTTTGTTCTGCTTTTATTTTTAATTAACTCTTCTCTATATAGGCATTTTTATTATGACACAGCATTTTTCATAATGAGCGTTACTGATAAATTTCATTTAGTAGCAATTCTTTTCTTCTAAAAATATGGCAATGTGAAAAATTAAATATGCTGAATTTAGATTTCCATTTAAAAAATTCCGTTTGTTTGGCGCAGCATGTCCTTCTGTGGACTTTGTGCCATTAAACCCAACATTCAATTCAATTCAATTCCATTTAAAAAATTAATAACTTTTTTTGTTTTTGTTTAGTTTTTTTTAAAAAAAGAATTCTCTTTTTACAGACGTTTTTATTATAACTCAGCAATTTTTTAGAACATTTCTGTTAGTATATTCTTGACCTGTTCTGGTGATTGAAAAACTGAGATGTTTTGCATTAAAATTTTCCTTCGAAAATTAAGATCGATTTTTATTTTCGCTTTTGTATATAATCTTTAGTTCTTATTAGAGCTGCATTTTCCAAAGGGTTTCTGATATGCCTTATTTTTTAGCGTTGTTTTATGAACGCGCTTTTTCTAGAAAATATTCTTAGCATCGAACTTTTGGTTTCAGTGTTACTATGCTCTGCTGAAAAATTTTATTTGGCCAAGATATACTGTATTCGGCCGTTTTTTTTTTTGCTGAACATTTAGTACGTCGCTGTACCGAATACCGCTCATAACCGAAATGCCGCATCAAAAAGTGTTTATTTAAATGCGCGAATAGAAATTCGCCTCTTGTGATAACATCGCAGTTAATAATAATAACGTGGAAAAGTATAACAATTAAAAAAATAAAAAAACTTAAATTAATGCTGAACTCAGCACGAATAAAGCGTGTCAAATGAGCGATTTAAAATTCCTCATAAAATAATCGGAATTTTTTAAACTACGCGGGAATGCATAGCAATAACTGCCCCAAAAAAAATGGTTGAAAAAAAGAAAGAACTGCCGAAAAGTGATTATTTAAATGAGCGATCTGAAACTCGCGTGTCGTAATAATATCGTTATAAAAATTCAGGATTTTCGAAATTGTGTGGAAAAGCGGAAATAAGTGCTTAAAAAATCATTTTGATTTATGATAAAATCGGCTTAAAGAAAGCGCGGTAAGCATACATTTACTATAGAACAAATAAAAATTGAGAGCTTAAAAACGTGATGACTCAAAAGTGTGATAAAAAAATTTAAGACATTTTTGATTATTTTTTATGAGTTCAGAAGCTCTCGCGCTTCAGTGATCGGAGGGCCGCAGGTTGTGCACCCCTATTCTAAGCAATTAAATATATAAATTTAAGTGAAAAAGTTCTTATCCTTCTAAGTTCTCATTCTTCAAATTAAAGTTTATTGTATTGGTCATTTTTGGTTTCTTCTTGTGACCCAAAAGAAATAGATTTCTTCCAAGCAAAATACCAACCCTTGTCGAAATCTGATTATTGCAAGCCCTGATTTAACATTTTGCTGTCCTTTTTTGTTGATACTCAATTGAAATTATGAGTTGCTGTAGGACCTCAAATAATAGTCCTGGTGTATCAAGGAAATAAAGTGATTGGTTTAGCGCCCAATGCAAATTGTGGGTGTGATGTCTACACGACCTATATTACCATTACCTAAATATTTTAGAGCATTGCTTTAAATTTTTATGTAGATCACTTACATATACATTTATAAAAATTTGAAAGTTGCCCATTTTTTTTTAAATATTTTTTTTATAAAAAATTTTCATGTGTTGTGGGTGTGACATAAAAAGGACATGTATTTTCATTTTTCAGCACAAAAACTTTAAAAATTCTGAGTGATCAATTTTCTTTCTTATTTGGCTGATTCTTTTTGTTTGTCTCCTTTGCTTTGACTCCTTATTTCTAGATATTCTGCATATGCATGAGTTTTTTAAAAAAATATTCACTGGTATATAAGACATGCTGACTTGATTCAATCACGAGGTACCTTTTGATTTTATTTTATTTTATTGAAATTACATACATTTGCTGACTTGTGTGCTCAATATAGGCTTATAAGTCATTGTCAAGTAGAAAATACAGATAGAACAATTCAGAGAAAGACATCACAAAGAATACATCCAGGGTTACGGCGGGATTCGAACCCGCTACCTCCACGCTTAACAGAGCGTTTGGACCGGCGATACCGCTCGGCCAGGGAGGCCCCATACCTTTTGATAGATGAAGGTTGGCATGATCGATAACTGCGCCCCCACAGTTGAAAACTATAATAAATTAAGGAAAAGGAAGAAGAACGTAACCGCCAAGAAGAAATTGAAGAACGCAAACGAAAGACAAGGTAAGAAAAACTGAAATGGAACTTGAATTACAAAAATTACGCATTGAATCAGATAATAGGTCTGCTAATTCCGTCGACAATCAAAATATTAATAGTACACCAATGAAATCAAGATTAGAACTTCATCATTTGATTCAAAAATTTAACCCTGTTGAAAATGATATCAGTTTATACTTAATTGGGTATAATATGAAAAAAGCACAACTACTTCCACTTACTAGGAATAACATTTACCTTTTAATTTAATTAATAAACTGAGTTTTAAATATGTTTACTAAATTCATAAACTTCGGTAAAACAACAATATAAATTATTTCCAAATAAACTAGACTAATACAATTCCAACCTGGCGAGTAGCGACTTATAAACAAGACACTTCGTTTGATGCTTTTACTTGTTGCTAGAAATCAGGTTCGCAGAAAATGCTGTTTACTAGTTAAATTTAGTAGGAATAACACGATCTGTGACGTAGGCTATAGTATACCCAATTATGTTTGAACGTTTGACTAAACAGGCAGATATAATCGAAAATTCCTGGGTTACTCACTTGCTTGGCTTACGACGTAGCTCAATTAATCGCCAGAGAAACAGAAAAAATTGCAAACGATTATGAAGAAGTTAAGCAGATTTTATTAAAGCGGTTTAAATTAACGCCTGAAAAATTTCGCCAAAAGTTTTTCATGCATAATAAAAATGTAGGAAGTACATGGAAAAATTTTGCTTACGAATTAAAAAGTTTTTTTAACGAATGGATAGATGGAGTTAAAGTAGATAGTTTTGAAAAGTTGAGAGATCTTATTATAGCGGATCAGATAAAACGTAAAGTGTCGCAAGAAGTAAAAGATCATTTTATTGATGATTGGTCTAGGTTCATTCATCCAGATGATTTAATAGAAAAACTGAATGATTATGATATTTTGAGATCAACTTTTAAGAATAAACAGCCGCGTAAGGAAGGATTTTCTACTCCTAGAAATTTCATTCATTAATTTTAAAGAAAATTATATGTTCATTCATAATTGAAAACAAATCAAATGACATGTTTTACTTTTTAAAAAGAATCATTGCAGTAACTTCATAATTATACAATTAATTATAAACCATTCTTTCTCATTACATTGCTAAAAGGCAAAAAAAAAAAACAAAAAAAATTACTGAAATAGCTTTTCTAAGAACTATTTCTTTTCTGGATCCTTTTGGTAATAATCAAGTAATATTTTTTCAGCATATACAGTCGGACCTCTATTTAACGAAGTTGCTAAA